GAAGCAATTTGGAGCAATTTGTGTCCTTTGGTTTTATCATCAGTATTGTCGGAAGGAGACTGGCTCGAAATTGCAAATAATTTTGAAGAATTGTCCAATTTCATTCACTGCATTGGTGCTATCGATGGAAAACATGTAACAATTCAAGTATGTGTTCCAATGTTCACTGTCGTTGTCGATGAAACTCATTTTTTGTTGATACAACTGATACAACATTCAAACCAATTCAAACACGTCTATTTTTTGCTCGAGTTGGGCCTTTCTGAACTTCAAGCGGCAAAACGACGCATCGACCAAAAGCGCCAGAGTGGGAAGAGCCGCTAGCGTTTTGACGCTACGTGAAATTGCACCTTAACACAAATTTGAGAGTTTCATCACCGGTAGCTACGTGGAAGTTATTGGAAAGGTTATTTAGAAGGTATATGAAAGAAGATATATGAAGATATATGTTTTGAAAAATTTTGATTAATTGCATTTAGCATATTTTGTCAAAATTTATTAATTTTCAACAAACCGTGCACCGATTTAGGATACTGCTATACCACAATACTGAAACGAATTCAATAGATGAACGAAGGTAAGAAAAAAGGCCATTAAGTATCAGCATGGTGCTGTTTCAAGTTATATAGATATTTATTTAAAAAAATTTTTTTTTATTTATTTTAAATCATCTACTACAAGAAAAAGCAGAGAAACGCTAAACTTTAACAATAAAAATTGATATTGTGCCGTAACATTTATTTTGGAAAAAAAATTTGCTTTAGAGGGAAAGAAAAAACACGGAGTTCTGATAAAGTAATATTATATTTTAACAAAAAAATAAAGCACAAAATTCCTATAACATAAAAAACTGCAACAAAACAAATAAAAGGCAAGTAATGCAAATGCATGTGATATTTTATTATAGACATGAATAGAAGTGTTTACTAATATCTTATTCTATTCATTTTTCTGTATATAAAATTATATTATTATATTAATGCGATTTTATTGATTGACTTTGTTAATAGCAGCAATAACAATGAATTCTGACAAAAAATCAGAATTTTTGGAAAAAGAAATGATATTAAGTGAAAGAAAAAAAGAATGGTATTTAGAACAACAACAACTACTACAGAAGCACGAGGAACGAAAACAGAAACTGATTAAAGAATATGAAAGAAAATCAGAACTTTTGGAAAAAGAAATAAGATTAAGTGAAAGAAAAATGGAATGGTATTTAGAACAACAACTACTACGGAAGCACGAGGAACAAAAACAGAATATGATTAAAGACTATGAAAGAAAACGGGTTGAGGCTTTGAAAAATCAGCGAAGATTTTCACAACGAAGCAAGAGCAATAGTCCACAGCGAAGAAAAACTCTCTCCACTGACTCTGAACATTTTAAAGAGTAAATAAGAAAGATATAGAAAAATTAAAGATTATATATAAATTTAATATTTTAATTAAATTGAATAATATTTTATCAAATTGAATAACATTTTATCAAATTGAATAATATAA